CTTTAAGAAGGTCTGCTACAGCTGTCAGGGTATCAACATGGCATACATTCTGACCCCGGTCTGGCTCCATCTCCTTGCCATAATCACTTTCTCCCTTCCCTCCTCTGACTGCCCCATCCTCCAACCATGCTGACTGAGCTTTAATCCTTTTCTAAACACTGCATGCCTCTTCACAAACTGCTCTTGATTTTTCTAGAAAGCCCATCGTTCCTCTTCATTCTTATCCATTCTTCACAACTCAATTCAAATATCAACAGCTCTGTGAAAGCTTTACTGTGTCCCTAGTCCCACCTAGAGCCTTTCTGAATTTCTTCCTCTATTCTCCTATAGCATTCCTGCCCTCCTTCCCTCTCTCTTCCTCCATCCTTCCTTCTTTCCTTCCAACTCAACCACAAAACACTTCTTGAAGCCTGTGGAAATGTGGCTTGGGAGATGGGGTTCAGGAAGAGTAGTTGCCCCTGGCCCCACTATCACCTGAACCTGTTCTCCAGAATTGAGTCTTTTTAACAACTTTAGACAATGTTGAAATGATGTAAATATAAATGGAAAATGCACAAGGAAGCAGTGTATAATATCATTGGTTAGAATATGAGATGATAGAGGAAAATAAAAACTGGCACTTTATGTGTGTGATCTTTTAGCAACCAGCATCCCTGCCAACTAACAATGCAGCCCTGACCCAGGCTGGTTCCCAGATAGCATATATATTAATAGGGCTACCCCTTGGAGGGCCAAACCAACGTGAGGTGATGAATGGAAAGCTCCTGGGTGTTGTTAGGTGCTCAGGAAACACAAATTCCCCTGCTTTGCAGAGATTTAAGTGTTATGAAAGCAGTGCTTTTGGACTATGCCTCTTTTGTGGGTATATATTCCTAGAGACCATCTGAAGGGATCTTCCTAGAAGCATCTTAGCTAAGGCAATAAAGCCTTGAACTAGGCCGTTAAAAATGGAAATGGAAATAAAGATACAGTTGAAAGATACTTGAAGAATCAAAGAACTAAAGACATTGGTAATTAAGAGAATATGGAAGATCTTTTATGCTCTGTGCTGCTCTAGGTCAAGAACTTGACTGGTAATCATACTAGAGATCCAATCTCTCTCCACAGGCTCCATCTACTAATCTGAGAGCACAACACTCTTTTGTTCTCTGAATTCTCATAACCTAGCACTTGATGATGTATCTTATTTTCTTTTTCACTCATCCTGTCCTAGACCTTCCTATAGACCGTTCCATTTTCTATCTCTGCAGTGCTGGGTACACTGGAGGGGCCTCATACTCATTTATTTGCCAAACCACCAGTCCCCCACAAATACAAAAACCATATTTTCAGAAAAATAGATCTGGAATGTGTTTTACTTGGTAATTTTTTTTTCCCACTTGGTAATTTCCTAGACCTTTTTCATCAGTCTGATTTAGACCAGATATTGACTCTCTTTCATGCCAATGTCTTGGTTTTCACCTGCATTAATAACTGACCAGTTATTAAAAACTCTTTTCTTTTGGAAAGAAAGATCCATTGTTTAATACTTTATGTCATTATGTAGGTTTACAATTTTACCTACCTACTCTGTAGGAATGTTTCATATACATGAAAGCACTCTTCTTTATATGTGAGACTTTCACTAGATATAAAAAAAAAGTAGATTCTAAAAACAGAGGCTGGATAGGTTTGAAATGGGAGAGAATGCAGGGCAAAGGAGAACATAGGGTGTGGTCCCAGAGCCAGAACTCTCAGGAGGTGGCCTGGGGAGCTGAAATGCCATGGGGCACACCTCAGGAAGGAAGAGAAATGGACACCACTGACACAGGCATCAGGCGTAGATACTACCTTGAGGGCTTATTTTCCTCATTATAGGAAATACCTCTGACTCCCTTCTTTTATACAGAACAAAATTTCAAGAAGTATTCATTTTTATGAATTCTGGTCTCTAGAACGGCAACTTTGGGAATCATCAAGAATAGATTTTTTACCCTTTAGATTTCTTCACCCCAAAGTGTTCCTTCTATTCTTTGAAATAGGATTAATCATTTATTTTTAAAATTTGCCCTGTCCATTAAAACAATAACCCAAAATAGCAGTTCATACTTCTTCTAGAACCTGAGCAACAAAAGAACTTAGAGGGCAAAAAGTACAGAGTTTATATTTCATTTCTTCCTTCCTTAATCCTTTTATTCTTTCACCATGGATTTATACAGTGCCTATTATAGGCCTGCCTCTGTTTTAGGGTACTGAGAATAAAAAGATGATTAGACACTCACAAGAAGTTCAAAGTCTAGAGGGAAAGAAGTGAGAAATGAATAGCCACAATGTATTATTCTGGCAAAGACGCCCATGCAGTGCAGCTATCTGGGGCACCTAGATTGTGAAGGGAGTGATCAGGAAATAGGCAGTATCTGAGCTACCTCCAGAATCATGAGTAGCCGGGTAATGACAGAGCTACTGGGGGGGAAAGAGATAGAGACGGATGGATATAGATATAGAGAGATGGAAAAAAGGAAGGTAAGGGAGAAGGAAGGGAGAAAGGAAATACACAAATGCATATTCATTAAGTGAAGAGGTTCCAAGTGGTTTGTTTGCATAGGGGGTGCGTGTGGAATGGTGATGAGAAAGGGGGGAGGAGAGTGAGGCTGGAGTGATAAGCAGAGGTGGAAACATGGGTTAGGCCATGTGTGCCATGCTAGAAAACATGAAAACTTGGTGGAATTATGGAAAGGTTACAATCAAGACAGAGAATAATCATATTTGGGAAGATCATTCTAATGTTCAGAGAACAGTTCTGAGTGGAGCAAGACCAGAGAGGCCAAGAGATGCATGCAATGGAGATGGATAGGAAGGTAAAAACGTAAGGGCCATTAAGGAGGTTGAAACATGGTGATAGGCCTGTGGAGGGCTGAAGATAAGCATGACCTCCAGGTTTGTAGGGGGCAGGACTTCAGTTTGAGGAGACAGGAGTAGATAGCAGGGGGGAGCTTATACTTTTAGATTTTGATACACTGGGTTTGGGATGCCCTGGAGGTTGCTAGAAATACATGCAAGATGTTGATGGCATTCAGGACAGAGGACAGTTCTGAAGAAAAAACTTGGAGAATCACAAGGATTCAAGTGTCGCAGATGGGCCTCTTTGGGAGACCACCCAGACTCGGGAGAGAAGAGCTACTAAAGACGACTGCTCTGGGCCTGCAGACAAGCTGCACATGGGGAAGTCTAAGACACAGCTTGAGAGGCAAGTGGAAAATCGGAAGAGGCCCTAGAAACTGGGGGAGAGAGAAGTTCACACACAGTGCTGCCAGATGCTGCCCAAGGGCTGAGTAACATAAGGACTGAACGTGTGTCTGCTTTGGATGTAGCAAAAAGGTGGTCACTGGTGCATTTGTGAGGACAATGCTTCAGTGAAATGGTGGGGATGGAAGCCAAAGTGCAGCAGAGTTGATGAGAGACTGGGAAGTGACAGGGTGCCTCCAGAAGCATGGAGGCACAGGAACGGGGGAAGAGAAGAACACCAATTATCGGAGGATGTGTCTGGAGAGTTCTGTGACTGCCAAAATCATGTTGTGAAAATTGTGCCAAGCACAAATCCTAGAATATAGCAACCCTTTACTATTTTTTTTTTTTGCCCTTTACTAAATTTTTAAACATCCATTTGAAGGCCCTGATTAGCTTTTTCTTCCATAAATAATGACCTCATACATCTTCTTCGTAAGTATGTTCACAGTGACAAAGATCTACATTCTGTAAGAAATGTTAGAAGTCTCATGCTCAGTTTTGTTTTATAAAAAATGTCCCCTGGGGTGCCTGGATGTCTCAGTTGGTTAAACATCCAACTCGGCTCAGGTCATGATCTTAGGGTTGTGATCCTAATCAGGCTTTGTGCTCACCAGAAATCAGCTTGAGATTCTCTCTCTCCCTCTGCCCCTATCCTTCCCCCACTTCATCCCCGCATGCTCTCTCTCTCTCTAAAATGAATAAACAAATCTTTTTTTTTTTAAAGTCCTGCTTCAAGATGAGTCCTAACATCTTTTATCACCAGTGCCTGCCCAGTCAATGAGTATACTGTGCAATTTCACTTGAAGGGATGATGAGAGGTAAAAACTTCCATTAAGCAACTTTAGAAATAAAACAAAAATAATGCATTTAATGTTTTACCATAATGATACTACATCACTATTTCAGGAATTATTGATTTAATAATCCATTTTTCAACCTTTCTTTTTAGTAACTTCCTCAGTTCATGAAATGTGTACTCCAGCATTAAACCTAAATATTAAAAAAACAAACAACCCCCCCCCAAAAAAAAACAAACAAAAAAACCCCCTGAATATTACTTAGGTCCCAAAGACCGGAGTGGTCAAGCTAGACAGTCAACATGAGAGGAAAAGAATGACTTTTGAAAGTTTGGTTACTTTAATTATTGGGTATTGCCCAAAAAAATACCCTCCTATCACTGCTGCTAGAATCAAAAAATAAAAGCATCAGGCATCAAAGGAAGGAAAGAGACCCTTAGAAAATTAAGCTGCCTTTGCTTACTTAGCCCTTCAGCTCTCCACCTTTTTTGCGACAGTAGTTATCAAAACAGTATGTGAAGTTCACTCTTAGCACCAACAATGAGCATATTTCCCCTTCCCTTACTTTGAAGAATGTTTGAGAAAATGCATGTAATTACCGATTTCTTGGTCTACTCTGGAATTAGCTCTCACTCAGAGCACATCTGCACACGGCCAAGGGGTGGCCATCCCTTCAGCCAGCAACTAATTTGGAACAGATGGGCTAAATGTCATATTTCCCTACAAAGCTGCCATAGGAACAGGTAGCTTGGCCCCTGTCCCTGAGGTAAATAGGCTAATCTGTCAATTAGGCAGCTGCCTGCAAAGTCATTATTTTAATCACTTATCTCTGGAAGCCTTTCTTTGCAGCCCCAGAAGTGCCAGCTCACACACTAAAGGGCTGTGGGAACAGAATGTGCTGGCACGGACTGTCCCGCAGACCTAGAGAAGACTCACCCGAGCTGGGCGTCGGTCAAAGTGCTTCTCTCCATGAGCACGTTGCCACTTCCACATGCTGCCACTTGGCCAACGGTCATGTGCATCCTCCTGCCGCCTGCATCCACGGTGACACTGGGCCCGGCTTCCCTCACCGTGCGGGCGCTGTGGAAGGAGCTCTGATGCCAGGAATGAGAGGCCCTGTTCTGACCGGCAGCCTGCAAGGGCACCAGTGACCGGATCTGCCCCGAGGCAGGCCCCAGCGTCAGACAGTTCTCCTTCTCCAAGAGGTTCCCCGTGCTGTGACTCGTCCCGGGCCTGGGGTACGTGAGCACCGCTGGGTTGGCAGGGGCATTGTCAAAGACGGTGTCATTCACAGAGCCGTACCGGTACTGTCTGTGGTAAGTGTCATAGTGGCGATGTCGGCTCATGGCCCCGGAGTGAGTGAAACCAACGATTTCTGAGCGAGCATATCTAGGTGGCAGAAGAAGGGTAGACCTCCTGCTGTCTTGGTGCCGCAAAGTATGCCCAGCCTGGCTTCTCTGGCCATACTGGTAATCACTGTGTGAGTAATGAATCCTCTCAGGGCTGCTGTCTGGAGAAATCTCAAGTCTCCTCAGAGGCTGCCTCAAGGATCTTTCTTCCACTGACTTCTGCGAGCTGTACTGTGCAGTTCCTCTCCCCCAGCGACTTTCATAAGTGGCAGTGGTGCCTGTCTGCAGAGAAAGAAGGTTGAAATGAGGCATAAATCAGTTTTCATCTTTGTTAAAGACCAAGGACTCCAGGCCTATTACATAAGGTGCCCATTTCTCTGAATCACATGAAGAAGTTGGCCCCTTTTCTTAAAAAAAAAAAAAAAAAAAAAAAAGAAGAAGAGTGACTAGTTATTTGTATTAGGATTTGATACTATTTAAAGTCCCCAGTTTTTTTCCTGGTCTCCACACAAAAATCAACAAAAATCAATCTTCACATAATTGATCTAGGAAATGGCAATATTTGGGAAAGGTAAACATTAAAAAAAAAAAATCTATGGAAGCTGCACCTGGCTGACTTAGTCCAGTGGTGCATGTGACTCTTGATCTCAGGGTCATGAGTTCAAGACCCATGTTAGACATAGAGCTTACTTAAAAAAATAAAAATAAAAAAGTTAAGATCCACACAATTAAAAAACTATGGATGTTTAAAAATGTTTTCATGGCAATCTGATAACTACAGTTATTCTTTAATACCCTACCTTTAGCATGTCATAAGTTTTAGTACCAGGCGAACGCCCACCGGTAAAATCATTTTCAACCAAGTGTAGGTTATAGACATACTCAGGAACACTGCTGGTTCGGTGAAGATTTCCTGCAATCAAGCATACAGTAAAATACTAAGTGGGGCAAACAGTAAAGACTATATAACAACAGTGTATTTTAAATTTAAGTAATTAAGACCAATAACAAGTATTAGGTTTATATTAGTGTTTTTAAGTGCTGGCTTAACATCACCCTGGGGTGTGGGAAAGGACCAAAGGTTATCACAACATTCTTCGTGAGATTTCAAAATAAAAGTTGAATTAAGAATAAAAATATACTTTTAAAAATTAATTTTTGGAGGGGGTAAGAGAAAGGAAGAATGACGAGAGAAGATTTTCACAAAGATCCAAAAATGCTTGTTATAACACCAAGGAATTTAGGGGTCACTTATTGGCTTAGGTGGTCCCTACCATAAACATTCTGTTTCTGAAGTTGGAGGAGGAGAGAGCTCCATTCCCGGGGTGAGAATTCAGAAGCTTCCTAAGAAGGATGTAGGTGTAGGCATAAATATACTGATGACAAACAGAAGAATGACTCAACACTAGTAGATAAGGCAGCTTGTAAAAACAGTAAGGTAGGTCAGTGTGGTCAAAGAAAACATCAGCTTGAAAGGGGCCAAGCCTGGGGGTGAGGTATTTGGCACTGTGAGTTAGGCAGGAAAGGAAACCATTCTCTGCACTACAGATGAGTGCTTTTGTGGAATTAGCAGGATGGCTCTTAGTCTGGTGGTCTAATCCAGCCCACTCCCTTACAAACACTGAGTAGGAGGCAGCCCTTCCCCTGCTCAGCTCTGCGGGGTCTGCAGCTCTTAATGGATGCATGCCTCCTATAACACTCCTTTTTGAGGAGGGGGGGGAGTAAAAAACTGTGGTAACCCTCTTCTACTCCCTTTATCCTTCGCTCAGCTTTCAATTTGTTCTTCTTTTCTAATCTCCCATTGTCTTACAAAACAAACAACTAATCAAAATAATCACAGAGCTCTATCTCAAACCTAAGTAATTTCTAATTCCCTGATTTTAACCAAAATTTCTTTTTCCTTTAGATATCAGAGGAAAAAACACTCAATGAACTCTCCCAGGTTTCTGACTTGCGAAGGATGTGGAGGATAAAACAACACAGGCAGTGCCTTCCCAACACAATTGGAACATGCCAACATAATCTCCCAGCAAGGTTGTTACCGAGTCAAAATTTCAAAAGCTAATAATATTCACAGTTTTAAAAATAGAACCACATATTTTGAGGGGGAGGGGGCATGGAGATGGTTGTTGCCAGAGAACTAAAAAGTATGAATCCATCCCAAATTACGTTTGTACATGTGTCTTGTTTCCTGGAGCCAAACAACCTGGTTGGTAAACAGTTTCAGGCCTCAAAGGGTCCTGGGGGTGGCAGGTTTGTAACCGTCACCTTTCTATAGATCAAGGAAGTTGAGGTAAACCAGGCATCTTGTTTCTAGAGGCCTGATTTCTCCATAAGGACGGGCAAAAGGGAAGGTAGCCCCTTAATTTTTAATCTCAATGACAGAGAACGTCTGGAACCTCCACACTGAATGAGGGAAAGGAATTCTTTCCAACGCCAGAGCAAAGGCTGCAATGCCTTAAGGACTCAAATCTCCATGCCTGCGTGGGGCTCCTGCCCAGCTTGCCAAGGCCCCAACTCTGCCCTCAGTGATCCTTCTGTCACCTTGACTCCGCACCCCAGGCTATTGGAAAAGCAGGGCAGCAGGTCACACCTGCTGGTGGGGAAAAGGAGGCTAGCTGGGCAGGTCCTGGCTCTAATGCTGAAGGGCCTGAGGACTAGGGTGCTTTTAGCACTGGAGATGTAGAAATCAAATTTATGGTCTCTCAAAAAAGTCATTTCAAAATTTTAAATTATATGAAAATTGAATATATGAGTCAGGGATAATCTAGAATGGGAAAATACTAATGACATGTGGATGACTAATCTAGAACTATTAATTCTGGTGATACAGGAGATGATATAAGGAAGGATGCAATTTAAAAGACCCATGAAAATGTCTTTCCTGCCCCCTCTAGCCCATCATCACCTGCAGCATTAAGTAGTACCCTTGCTCTACTTCCAGGAGCAGACTGACATTCAGGAACAGTTAGTAGGGGACTATGTCCGTTTTCCAGCTGAGATTCCTGCAAGGTTTTTTTTTTTTTTTTTTTTTTTTTTTTTTTTTTTTTTTTTTTTTTTAATGTATAAGAATCTTTGGAAAAGATCCAGTGAAACAATGTATCCTATCAAAATAGCTAATCAGTGAGTTTTATAATCAGGCCTACTGAAGTAAAATATTTAACTCACATTGTTGCTGGGGGCTATCAGACTTTTTAAAGCAACTTATATGAACTCCTTATATCTCAATATTACTTTTCTTTAAGACTCAAATTATTTTATATGTTTCTTTCCCATATTCTGTGATGCAGAGCCAGCTCCTATCATCTCCTTTATAAACAGGGAAACTTAATTACTTGCTTTAAATTGCAAAGCAATTTTGTATAATGTTTGAACTCCGGGTTCCTCATTTTCACTGGTCTCTGCTGTTTCACTGCATTGTAGTTTTTCTGAAACAGCCATTTACCAAAGCTCTGGAGGGATGATCATCATAGGTTTTGATATGAAAACCAAAAGAAGTCATTCTCTTTCCTCTAGAATCTTCACCTGGGCAACTCCAAATACTCTGTAACTATTAATTCTTTATTTGCAGGCATTAAGTCCTTATAAGGAAGCTTCCTCCTCAGTTTTCAGATGAATGAACTGAGACCAGTTTACTGGTTCCCAAAATAACCACAACACAGTTTGGAAAAAGGAATAAAATAAGCTTGGATCTGTAAACCACAGACTCTTCCTGTGATAGAAAGGTTGTGATTCCTGATACTCAGCTTGCAGGTTTCTCTAATGAAGAAAAAGCCAATCTCAAACAACAAGCAATGCAGTTTGATTTGCCTAGGCAGCCATGAGTTTGCCATTAGTAGAGTGGTTTAAAGATGAATTAGCAGCTGTATTCTAAGATTCTAAAGAAATTTTGAACTGGGCAGAATTTTTGGTAAAAATATATATATTAATTAGGATGGAAACTAACCTCTTTAAAGCAAATCTTCTGTTCAGAGGATAAAATATATAACTACTAAACATATGTAATAACTCAGCCATGCCTTTTCTCCAAAACAGAAAAAAGAAAGCAAACAAAACCACAGCATACTCAAAAGTACATTCTGCTTTAAATAAACCAACATGAAAATTCAGATTTTCTAATATGGAAAACTAGGGTATTATTATATTTCAAAGAATCTGTTTCACAAAATGAGGCAGGTATCTTCCCTAAACAGAAGAAATCTGTGGACTTGGCCTGGAGCCTTCATTCCACTATTTTCTGTGTATCTAGACAAACCACTTAGATGGCTCAGTTTCCCATAATTCCAGGCACTAACAGAGTTGCTGAGAGACAAGTTACCTGAGACAGCATATATTCAAAAGTGTTTAAAATTGTAAAGCAACATGCGAAAATAATATACAGTTTTTAAGATAGAATTTGGGTTACAAAAATTTGTTTTTTACCCTTTCTCATGAAGTAATCTGTTCTAGAAAGAGGGATTAAAGTAGAGTGCATGCTTTAATTTACACTGTGTTGTATCTCAGAATTTTTATTCTGATAAATTTACCAGTGATCTTGAATTTAACGTTCTCTGGTTATTTGTGATTGACCCAGTCACTGAGGATCACAATGATATCATTGTGGTTTTCCAGCCATTCATTTCATTTGTACAGCGTGCAAATGTGCTTCTACTGTTTCCTAAAGAAGGTAATGATTTACAGGAACTTTTTCAAATTAGTATTAATTGGGCAACATTATCCTTACCTTTCCGTCTAAGAATGCCAGAGACATTATATGGAGCCCACTTTTTAAGGGAAATGAAGAAGGTAGTTATAGCACAACTTTAAACTCCACCTCCGCAAATTACAAACAATTCGGGTCAAAGCAATGGTAGAGCAGGGGTGAGGTAATGGGAGTTGGTTATTTATTTATTTATTTATTGGGAGTTGGTTTTGATGGTGGAAGGATTCTAAACTGCTCAGAAGATTGCAGAGGTATAGACCTCACAAGATAATATAATTTTCTCTCTTTCCTGGTCTGAATGTGAATCTGAATGATAAGACTCCCTAAGCAGCTATTAAGAGGAAAATATCTTGGTTTCTGGTTATGTATGCCAGTATTGTCCAAAATAATGGATTACTGTTAGGGTTAAAAATAAGCTGACTTCCATAATCAGTTTTTTGTTGGTGGGTTTTGTGAGCAGCAAATTTAACCTAATTGGTTAAATTTAATACATTATAAAATCAAATTGACAAGCATCTACTGTGACTCTCTTACCTCTATTTGAGTATGTTTAAAAAAGCGACTACAGCTTCCCTTACGGTAAATACATGATTGAGAACTGCTAAACAAACAAAACCTTTAAAACCCTGCTTCTAGGGATCCCTGGGTGGCACAGCGGTTTGGCGCCTGCCTTTGGCCCAGGGCGCGATCCTGGAGACCCGGGATCGAATCCCACGTCGGGCTCCCGGTGCATGGAGCCTGCTTCACCCTCTGCCTATGTCTCTGCCTCTCTCTCTCTCACTATGTGCCTATCATAAATAAATAAAAAAAAATAAAAAAAATTTCTTTAAAAAAAAAAAAAAACCCTGCTTCTAATACCATAGCATTTGCATTCAGAAAATCAGCTTTTCTTTCAAGCTTCTAGTACTTTCTGAGCATGGTTAAAAAATTGATTTGGTTCACCCTGGAATTGTAGAGCTGGAGATAGAAGAAATTCCCATGAAAACAGGTATAGTTAAATGTATATATAGAAATCAGCAGGCGTTCACTGCTGGCATTAGATTTAAATGCTACATTTAATTGAGCGGCCCGTCACAAGACGTTGCCTTCACAGTGTGGGCTGACAACAGTCTTTTGGGGGGAAGAGTCTGGAAGTCTAAGAGCTATCATCTTCTATTTGGCCTTTCGGCACAACCTCTGGATAATAGCAGTTCTCTTTCTTCCATATACCT